AGCGGTTGTTCTTGTGTGGCCCCCTTAGCTTGCACTTTCTGCAGAACTAACAGTTCTGGAAAGGAGGAAAACGAAAGCAAAAAGGAGCCCGTCCTTCGTGATTTCAAACAGACGTCAGGGTCACCTGCCTGTCTGTGGAGATCAGGAAAGCTCCCCCTCTCCTGGGCTTCTGCAAAATACATAAAACTGAACTGTTCACGAGAGCCTTTCTGCACAGTTGATAGGGTTGCACTGTGCGAATTGATTCACAGATTTACCTGGACAAATGCTTAGGGGGCTGTGGTCTATATTGCTGTGCATAGTTTATTGTAGTAGGATCCCATTATGTAATCTCTGTACCCACTTAATGTGCCAAGTGAATACTGATGCTATGCTTCGGCTCTTTCTGGGGGCTCGAGACTCTCCCGGATTGTCCTGGTTCACTAGGTGTAATCCCCCTTAAGTCCCTGTGAGAAAGGCAGACCACAAAGAACAGAAATATAAATCTTTCCACTGTTTATGGGAAAAGAGCTGTCCTGCCATATATGCAGATAGATAACTCCCTAGGTGTTCTCACCTGCAGAAGTGAGGCAAGGGGCAACTGCAGACAGGCCTTTTCAACACAGGCTTTTGGAATGCCCTCTCCCTTGAAGCTCACCTGGCACCTTCACTACTGTCTTTTAGGTGCCAGGCCAAATCATTTCTTTTGGCCCAGGTTTTTAACCAAAGGGTTCCATCTTTCTACCGAGGTTTTATTGTGCCCCGAGAAGAGTTTTATGGGTTTTTTAAAATGTAGCTCAGTGATCGTTTTAGGCTGCTTTATGCCCTTCCCCCAGTGTTTTTAATATTGGTAACTGACATTGTTGTCATGGTATTCTTTTTGCTGGTGCAGAGGTGCAGTAGGACTTTGGTCTCAAAGGTGCAGCAGATAAACTCCCTGTATAAATATTTACATCAAGAATTAATGAATTCGGGTAGACAAAGAGTGACTTCACAAAGGTGATAGTCGTAATGAAAATTCAGATAAGGGAGACCCTGGGGCAAATGAGGTGTTATGCACATGTAAGGAAGTGTGAGTAGCTTGATGGAAAGCAGCCTTGAGAGGTTACAAGTTTGAAAACTGAAAAGAAGCATATGTAGCTCTTTCCATACCCAGTGTTTTCATGCTCAACCCACCGCCCCACATTAAGGCTCCTAATCTCCCTTATAAATAAAAGCCGAATGACTTCTCTAACATTCCACACGGTTCAAAATCAGTTCGCTCTCTGATCAGTCATTCAGAGGGTCTCCCTATCCACTGGCAGCTTTGAGTGAGTCTCGCCTCCAACATTCTAAACAGTTTGCTGTTCGTCTCCCCCCCATAGCCAGTAGGAACACAGAGGTTATTTGCATATGCAGCCTCATTGGCCTTTGCCTTGGAACACAGAGGTCATTTGGCTTTTGCCTCTAACATTCTAAGCAGTTTTGCTGTTCTGAGGTAAAATGTGTCCAATCTCCAGGGGAGGGCTGGAGATCACTCAGAATTACAACTGCTTTCCAGATGGCAGAGATCAGTTTCCATGGAGAAAATAGTGGGCTCTGTATCCTTATATGCTGCTGAGGTGGCCCCCATATGACAGCCAATGTGACGTAGCAGTCAGGGCTTCAGAGCACGGGAGAGGCTGCAGGTGTGTGGGGGGTGGAAAGCTGAAGAGTGAAGGGGAAATAAAGATAGGTTGATGATTGGCTGGGAAGGAGATAGGGTTGCCAACTCCAGGTGGGATATTCCTGGAGATGTGAGGGATGGAGCCTGGAGAGGGTGAGGTTTCAGGAGGCATGGGACCTCGGACAGGTACAAAGCCATAGACTCCACCCTCCGAACCAACTATTCCCTTCTGGGGAACCATTGTTGCCAATCTCTAGGTGAGGGCTGGAGATCACTCAAAATTACAACTGTTCTTTATGTAGCAGAGATCAGTTCCTTTGGAGAAAAGGGTGGACTCAGTGTCATTATACCCTGCTGAGGTCGCCACAGCAAATTGACACGGAGAGTCCAAGGCCGGGGCACCTGCCCAGAGCCTCTTTCTAGAGGCCGTTGTATTTATTTCCACAACAGGCCTTTTTCCTAGTGATTACTATAAACACAGAATGTATATCTAGAACTTCACAGGAGAAAAACTGTGACAGGAAATTTTAACTGGAAAGATGATCTTCAGGGAAAGGGACCCATCCAAGCAGCTCTTCTGCTCAAACTTTTTCATTTTCATGAATACCGCTGATTCTTAACACTACATTTGTTTCTAAGACACAAAACTCTTGTTTGCCTTTCAAGGTAGATAAAAGCTTGATCTATATACCGCTCCAGGTCTAATCATCCAGGGCACTTTGGGAAAAATAGATTGCCTGTCCTATATGAAAAGGAATGAAAAAAATATTGCCTGTCTTATAAGAAAGGGAAAAGAAACAACCTATCGTAACCAGAAATACTTTATTATAAAATCTGCATGTAAACAAATTACAAATTAAACACTTCATGAAAGTGCAAATTAATTTCTAAAAAAATTATATTTCATCTAGATTTTGCTTCCTCCTGTCCTGAATGCACTTAAAATGGTCTGATCCAGCCCACATTTTTTTTAAAAAAAGATCACGGCTTTCTAATATATACCAAAGAATAAGAGAGTGTACGATCCTGCGTACATTCATTCAAGTCTTGCTCTGCAAAGGAAACATGACGATGCTGATCAATTTCACCATCCCTCCTGATCTTTGCATCCCTGATATCCACAGGACGGCTAGCACAGAAACACAGTGAAGATGCAGGCATACCAAGCCTCAGTATTGGAAAATTCTGTTCAGTTCCTCACACACGCAGAAGCTTAAAAAAACCATTTGCCGATGAAGACAAGGTCGTCTTCTTCCCAAGTCTCACTTAGGAGCCTTAAGGCATGAAGGAGAACATTTTTCTCCCACCGTGTGGCTCATGTCCATAATCCTGTTTTCACCCTTTTACAATCAAAGACATGCTCACAATCCCACACACGTACACACGCACACAGCATCTGGGTCTTCTGAAAGTGGCCATTAAAGCACTGACAAGTCATGGCAAGATTTGGACTTGGCCTTGAACGCCATCTTCTTGTTGTTCTTGGCCACGATCCGGCCAAGGAACCTCTTGGCTTTCTTGCTGATGCTCTCTCTCCTCTTGGTGTTGGCCATTCGCCTGGCGTTGTCCTCTTTACTGTCTTTGCGTAGCCGAATTTGCCGGACAATCCCCTCGAAGAGGTCCTTCACGTTATGATGCAGAGCGGCAGAAGTCTCGATAAACTTGCAATCAAACACCACTGCGCAGGCTCGTCCTTCTGAAAGGCGGGAGGAAAAACACAGAGTTACTTAGGGTAGAACAAAAACAGGGATGTCGTTCATAATGCAGTTTTCATCTATAGTCTATTTCTATGAGTTATGGGGAATATTGAAAGAGGCATCATGGTGAGATCCCACAATCTTTTCTGCTCTGTTGTCCTGTTCCTTCCCTACTGCAGTTCCCATACTGTGGGGGCATTGTCCACGTGGGTCCCACAGTCCCTGGCGTAACTTTTTCAGCCATCAAAATGGGCCTCTCCCCTCTCTGTCATCAGTGGAAAGATTGGTAGGATCCAATCCATTTTTCACTTGGTGTGAACATATTTTCCCCCTACTGTCTAATCTAGTTGAGAAGGCTTTTGAAATGCTATAAAACACACTAGCTAGAGGTGATAGCAAAATTAGTGTACCCCCATTAAGGGCAAGTCTGTCTCCCTTTTACTTTCCAAGATACTAGGGGGGAAATGATCTGCATGGGTCAAGCAGTTGTTGAACTAGAAAGGGCTGTGATTCAATGACAGACTTGTGCTTGACCATGTGATCGAGAACCAGTGAATTTTGCATGCAAAAGGCAAGCAGCTCAGTCCCTGGCATCTCCAGTTAAAAGGATCATAAGTGTTGGGAAAGACCACTCCTTTAACAAAAGAACAACCGTGCAAGATGAAGCCAATGGTCCATCTAGTCCAGCATCCTGTTTCACACAGTGCCCAATCAGAAGCCCCTAGGAGGACTGCAAGCAGGGTACAGGGGCTGAAGTCTCTAGTTACCTCTCAACATTAGGATTCAGAGGGTGGTTATTGCCTCTGAAAATGATGTTCCATTTAGTCACACTATTGACTGTGGGGGGGGGATATATATATATATGTGTGTGTGTGTGTGTGTGTGTGTGTGTGTGTATGTATGTATGTATGTATGTATGTATTTAACGTGCCATCACGTTCGGGTTTTCAAGAGAAGCAGAGGTGGTTTTGCCATTGCCTTCCTCTGCAAAGTCTTCCCCCATCCTTTGCTTGGCTTCCAAGACCTGATTATACCATTCCACCTATCAATTGTCCTTCATGAATTTGTCCATTTCCCTTTTAAAGCTAACTAATCTGGAGGTCACCATCACACCCCATGGCAACACGTTCTGCAAGCCAATCACTCTTTGAGTGAAATAGCACTTCCTTTTGTCTGTCCAGAGGCTATTGCTCAAGGACGCTGAAAAGGTCTCATTATGGGGGAAGGAGAAAAATAAATTCCCCCTGCCTGAAACCCTGGAAAGCTCTTGCCAGTTAGGTGTCCCACTGTTAAGGCAGTCTCATATCCTCAGGGTCTATGACTCTTTGCATTGCTGTTTACGCTATCCAGTAGGAAGTTCTGGCCATTTCCAGGGGCGATTTCCTGCACCTTCCAATTGGTCCCTTCTCTAAGAAAAGAAATCACTTCCCTTTCTCTCTTTTAAGCCACTCTACCTAACTCCTGGGCTGCCAATGAATTCTACACAGCTGCAAAAAAGGGAAGGACCAATGGAATGTCAATGTTTTCTTGCACATAACTTTTCCAAAGGTTTTTTAGATGATGTGCTATGTGCTGGCTGGACACAGGTCCACAAGGGCACAGGATTATCTGCTGTAGAGTTTCAGTTCCAGTACGTGTTGCTGCAGATTAAAACAGTCAAATAGGACTGACTTCATCTTGATATGCAAGCTCGAACTAAACTACCAAGACTTCTGGGCTACCTCTTTTGAGGATAAAAGGCTGGTTCATGCACAGCATCATATCGCTTGGTAAACTGAGGAGGTGAATTGACTCCACTGCATTTACAGGCATACAGAAGTTCTGACAAGATCTACAATAGTCCATGCCTACACACAAACCATCTCTGGATGCTGCGGTCATAGGAACGTATCAAGGTTCCATTGGTCCATCTAGCTTAGCATTGCCTGTTCAGGAGTCTTGGGCAGAGAAAAAGGCCCTTCCTAGCATCTCTAGCCCAAGATCTATGGAGCTGCCAAGGACTGAATCTAGGACCTTACAGGGCTCTACTGGTAGCAGGAGCTCCTTTGCATATTAGGCCACACACCCCTAGTGTAGCCAATCCTCCAAGAGCTTACAGAGCTCTTCTTACTGGGGCTACTGTAAGCTCTTGGAGGATTGGCTACACTAGGGGTGTGTGGCCTAATATGCAAAGGAGCTCCTGCTACCAGTAGAGCCTCACCTTACGCATGTCCTCTGCCACTGAACCACAGCCTCCTATGGAAGTCAGTTGATCAACATATAAATCTGAACCAATCCCAAGTGTGCACTTCAGAGATCTTGCCCAATGTCAGTTCAGTGGCTTAGGAAATTATTTTCAACAGAGACCCATTGGGTACTCATCCACTCAAGCCTCTTACCATCTACAGAGACTTCCCGCGATCGGACCAGGTCACTCTTGTTTCCTACAAGAATGATAGGAATGTCTTCCGTTTGTCTTGCTCTTCGTAGCTGGATTCTCAGCTCCGAGGCCTTCTCAAAGCTGACTTTATCCGTCACGGAGTAGACAATAATGTACGCGTCCCCCATTTTCATGCACTGGTTCTGAAGCCATTGGCTATCATCCTAAAGTTAAGAACAGAAATAATGACATTTGGGCTAAAGCACCCTGGATTAAACATTTTTGACTAGAAACTACTTTAGGAGTTCTACCCTAGGCAAGAAATATGTTGGTCATCCCACTCAGTTTCTCAAAGTAAGCCTCTAGATCTCAAGACTGGGACAATGCACCACATACGCTCCAAACAAGGTTTTAAAAATGAAAAATTTGTTTTGGTATGTATCTGCATAAACCTATCCTTTGTAGCTACAGATGTACCCTGTTAGAGTCTGCCACTCTTAACCACTACACCAACGCTGGCTAGCCACCACAACTAGCCAGAGTCCATCAAACCAGTATCTGAACTCTCCAATGCCAAGCAGACTGAAAGGGTGCTTTCACACATCATCAATAAAGTACTTTCCCCTTTCAATCCACTTTCAAATGATCAGTAAGTGCACTGAAAGGGGCCTGGTCTGAAAGTGCATTATTTGGCAGGTGTGAAAGGGCCCACGCATCACTAAAGATGGTGTCATCGCTGTGCTACAGCTACTGTTGGCATCTGGATGGTCTAGTGGCAAATTATTGTTATAGTGGAATATAGTGGAAGCTGCATCCACACGTTATTAGATATTGCCTCGTCTCCTAGTTCTGAAGACTCATGCTGGCTAAAGGGTGCCAGTGGCGAGCTCTACCCACCGTCCCCCCAGGGTGCAAGGCACAGTGCTAGACATTAGACTTTAACCCTGTGTCTCCGGGGCTGGCATTAACATTAAGGATCAAGGTGCCAGTCCCTGTCATTCAAACAGAGAATAAATCTCCTTACATCCATAGCATTTGGCTTAACCATTTTACAAAACTGATTCTTGCATATGACTAAATTTAACACAGCCCTCATCTTCTTTCATTTATACCCCACTTTCCTCTCCAATCGGGACTTATCTCAGCAAGTATGATAATCCAGCCATGGATTTAGAAGGGTGTAACTCAGTTCAGGATGACAGGGTAAAGCCCCGATGCCACTGAATGGAAGGACAGGACTGAGGGAAGGGTGAGATAACAGAAACAATAGAGCAGCCAAGATATTTACCTGTTCCCATATATCGAACACCACAAGAGAAGCTTCTTCGCCATCAACAACAATAGCTCTGTCATACGTATTGCCTAAAAGATAAATGTTAAAAAGGATGTTAGGGGGGGGGAAGGGAACTTATCATTTCTACTGTCACTGCTGGTCTATAAAAAGAACTGGCAGTATGGAGTGAGCCATACACACAAACTGCTTGGCTATGCCAGCCAATGAGGTGCAGTGGTCAGAGGGCCAGGGAGAAGCAAGCTCAAGCCCCTGCTTGGCTATGAAGCTCACAGGTGGACCACTGCCTCTCATTCTAACCTCCCTCAGAGGACTGCTGTGAGGAGAAAGTGGAGGAGGGGAGAAGAGACAGCTCTTCATCCCTTTCTCTTGTTCCACTCTGTGGCTTTCAGGGTTTCCCTCCCAGACCAGCTCCAACACCAGACATGAACCAGGCTGGGAGAAAAATGCTAGAAGTCACAGGATACAATATGGTAACGCACTGGAGGGAACAGAGCTTCACTCCCTCCATCTAGTGCCCCACATTCCATTAAGACAAAGGCGTTTCCCCTTCTTTAGATGCAAGTCCCATTTGAGAAAGCCTATCAATGGGGCTCACTGTGTTTAGTGCCACAACCTTGCTTGTTAAGCTAAATGCTTCCAATGATTTTCTCTCCCAAAATTCCATTGCGGTACAGTGGCTGATTAACAGAGGCACAGCAAGGGAGGTACTTTGACCCACACTTTTAAAAAACATTTGTTTTGATTTAAAAGAAGGGGTGTTTTTTTTGTTTTTTTAAATGTTCTGCTACCAAGGCCAAAAACAGCAGGGGAGATGCAAAAATATCACTGGCTTGCTTCTTGTACTCTGATTCAGCCAATAAAATCCAGAACTTTCCTCACTCCATTTTTTTGTTCAAGCAATAGTGTGGTTGGTTAAATTCTTGAGGTGTGATTCTAACAGGGAGAATTTTAGCACAGAATGTACCAGCTGTTTTTATCAGTTGATCAAAAGGCTCTCTAAAGTTCTGAACTCATATTTATGACCACTTTAAGGTACAAGAACAAAAAAATATATCAAAGGGTCATGATATTTTCAGTAACTCCAAGTGGAAACCATGAAACCCTGTGCAGAGTTCTTCAGGTCTAAGGCTATTGATTTCCATAGACTTAGAGTAACACGGCATAAAATTGCACAGTAATTCACTTCTAGTTTTGTGGCTATAGACAGGAACTACAAGATTTGTTCAGCTTTTTAAAAACAGTATTATTTCCATGAAGAGACTGCAAATTTTGTATTTATGAAATCAACACTGTGCAAAAGCACTTTTCTCCTTAGGATATACAGAACTGCTTCATACTGAAGTCTGGCTCTTGCTGTTAATCACAGAACATGACCAGAATTCCCAAGGTCTTAGGCAGAATCTGGAGCTTCATTCAAGCACAGCATGTTTCATGCTCTATCAACACACACAAATATTGACTTCGTGCCTTAAAGTAACATTCCATCTCTGTGGTTTCAATTTAAACACTGCATTCGTCTAACTTCGAGGGTAGGGCAGGAAAGAGCTCTACATGGGGATATAACGCCACATCAAGAGGTCAGATGCGCAACATGGGACACATTGTTCCCTGGGCCAACACAAATGTTGACGGGGGGGGGGGCAACATTTCCCAGGGCAATTAAGTGAAAGTGTCTGTGCCCTGCCCCAAAGCTGCGTCTCAACACTGCCTGCAGCTCTGCAATTCAGGGGGCATGCATCTCAAACTGCACCCTGTTTTAAGAGCTCACCCCTCCAAAATTTCCTGCCCCAGACCAGCCCTGTATTGCTCCATCATCTGGCAAGCAAAGCCTGCTGCAGGGGTTAGAAGGTTGAAATAGGAGCAGGAGAGACTCAGCTTTGACTCAGTCGTAGAAGCTCACTAAGTGACCTTGGGCCGATCACATTTTCTCAGTCTAACCTACCTCACAGGGCTGTTGTGAGGATAAAACTTTGGGTCCCCATTGGGGAAGGAAAGCAAGACACAAACAAACTCAAGTTTCCCCATGCCCAATATGCACCCTCAGTGCACATGCATGAGGACTGCTGCCCCCTCAGACGCCACCCCCACGGTGTCTCCGTCCTCACTCACCAGCTTCTTCAGCATCCGGGCAATCTTCTACTCCCCCAAAGATCCTGGCCAGGCTGGTCTTGCCCACCCCATGCTCGCCTAGCAGAATGACCTTGTAGAGGTTGCTGTCGGAGTCGCTGCCGGAGGAGATGACGGAGTCGGAGGAGTCCGAAGTCCAGCCTTGCTGGTGATGCGCCTCCTCGGAGGGGTTGTAGGAGGTGCAGCGCACCAGGTGCGAGAGCTGGGCTTGGGGCAGGGAGGCTTGCAACTCCCGCTCGTCCACAGGCATGCTCCGCCGGTGCAGGTGCTGCTGGTGCACGGCAAAAGGCATACTGCAGCGCCGCTTGTCCAGGTATCTCAGCTTGTCGCCTCGGTTCAGGGTCATGGCTCTACCTGGAAGACACAGGAGCATTAGTGTGTTTCAAACAAAGCACTGGTCTTTCGCTGCTGCCTGAGCCTCACAGTCCCCTGTGCATCCCTGCTCTGGGTATGAGAAAGAGCGGGAATCACTCCGATGAACTCAGAGGATGTTTCTAGTGCAGAAAGATGGGAGTTGCACAAGCAACAGTTTGCCCCAAAGCAGCCAGTACACAATGGCTTTGGAACAAAAGGATTGGATGGAGAAAAGAAAAGGCGAGGGGACACCCCCACGGCCCTGACTGGGGATGTACAAAACGGGCAAGGGCATACAAGAGGGTGCAAATCCACCGTGTGCAAGCTGCCACGAGATTCCATCGGGAATGCAGAATAGCGAAGATGCACACGCAGGCATGCAACGCTGATTTTATGCAGCTCGTTTTCAAATGCAACGCAAAACTGCAAAAATAGTAGAACTGGGGCAGAGATGAACCCTTTGAAGCGTCCCCCAGTCGTTATTTATTTTTTAAAAGCCCGCTCTTTAATACTCTTTCAAGCATCTTGAAGACGCCCCCAAACTGAGCGCACAGCCCTGAGAAAAGAAACCGGGGCAGAACGAATCCATTTACCACCCCAACTCTCCCCAACTTCGACTGGCAGAACGCAACCGACACTCCGTCCCTTCTATCCAACTTCTGCTGGGCTAACGGCAACAGCACACGTGCCAAGCTTTTCCTAGAGCCGCGGCCGGAAGCTGCCCCTTATCCACCCACCACGCATCCAAGAGCCAACTTACCTCGGGAAGGCTGCTCGGAGGAGCTGGGACAGAAGAAGCCGCACGTACGCAGGACTAGTGGGAAGCGCTTCCTCTGCTCCTAGCCAGCGCTCCACCGTAGCCGAAAAGCTCCCGGAATTGTATGATCTCTCCGCTCGGTCTCCTCTGTATTTATCCCGTTCATGCCAGCCGGGCTCCTCCCCGCATTGTGACGTCACGGTGAGCCGCTGTCCAACCAGGTTCTGAATTAGAATTCCAGCGCGGCCCTCCTCCTCGCCACCCTCCACCTCCCCCCAGCCCTTGCCTGGAAGAAGGTGGGGGGGGGGGAGAGAGAAGAGGTGCCAGACGGGAGTTGGATTAGTCAGAATCCTTTCTGCGGAAAACCCACCGTAGTGGGAGCTTCCCGGCTATTTTTAAAGAAACGAGGGCAGTAGTCACGTAGGTAGGGACAGCCCCGCTGTCAAAAAGAAAGCGTAAAGATTTGGGATTACAGAGTTCTGCGATTGCTGAGCTGCAGAAGGAGCAAGCGAGGCTCCCGGGTGCGCAACGGGAAGGTGACGCTTTTGCAACCTCCGAGTCCAATCAGGTTTCTACTTGTCGGAACCGCTGTTAGATTTGGAAACAATTAATCGCTGGACTAAAATGAATGCATGCCTTTTTGTGTGTGATACCAACGGCATGTTTTCTCCCTACCTGGAAGGTTACAAAAGGGAAACCGTCGAAAATAGTGCAAGATGGAGATCAAGCACCTTCTTCGTGCATGGAGGAGAGGAGAGGAGAGGAGAGTGGGGAGCGGAAGCAGAGGAAATTGCCCCTAAGAGTAGCATTCTACTTCAAAGGAAAGGATCAGATAGCAGGAAGGAAAGGATGCTCTGTGTGTCCTGACCTCTCTGTCTAAACTCTTTGGTGCCATCTTCTCAAGTCTGAGACAGGAGACAGTGCCAAGTCCTCCACTTCTAACAGTTTGAATCCCCACGTTGCCGTGGAAGCTGGCTGCGTGACCCAGGGCCAGTCATACACTGTCAGCCTGACCTACCTCACAGGGTCATTATGTAAACAAAATGGAGGAGATGAGAATGATATCAGCCGTTTTGAGTCCCCATTGGGGAGAAAGGTGGGGTATAAAATAGAGTGATTCTGCATTGGATCACATAGTAGATGTCCTCACATTCTACAAAAAGACCCTGGGGAGGGGAGATTTTAAGCATAGAAACACCCAGACCAGTATAGGTTACAGCCTCCCCACTGAAGCTTAAAGCCACTGAAGCTTGTCATCAAGATGAGAGTGCCTTGGAGCATGTACTTCAAGGCTTTTCCTTGCAACTGACTCATCCGAGGGCATAAGCTGCACTTTCATCATTGCCACTTATTATAAGTCCTTTAAACATATTTATATCCCACTTTTCTCACTGTTGGACTCCCCAAAGCAATTTACTTCATTCTGTCCTCCACTTGATCCTCACAAGCAACTGCCCTGTGTGACTGGCCCAGATCACCCAGCAACTTTCCATGGCCAAATGGGGACTTGAACCCAGGACTCCGAGATCCTAGTCTGACACTCTAACCACTACACCATGCTGGCTGGCGGGCTTCTATATCTGGTGGGTTACTTGCACTGCTAATCACTCAGCTGAGGCTGAAATTGGAGACTTGGACAAGGACATGCAGTGAATCCAGAGGTCATTTCGGAGGGGATCGCGGGGGAACACAGTTCCCCGGGTGAGGTGTGGGGGCGGGGCACACGACGAAGCCCCGGCCCCTGCTTCTAGCCGCCCCACTTCCGGTCCTCATTCAGCCAGGAGGAGGCAGGAGAAGAGGGAGGGTAAGTTGCTTCCTCCCCGCCACTCCCCACCCCTGCCTGCCTGGGGCCAGGGAGGGCCTTGGCGGGGCTTCCTCGCACTCCCGCCGGCCTTGCAGGTCCACCGCCGGGCCCCTGATGTCAGGGGGTGTGGCATATGCTAATGAGTTATGCTAATGAGTTCCCATAGCTCTTTTTCACCCCTGAGTGAATCTGTGGCAAAGCTTGGACCCAGGATTTCAGTTCTCAGTTCCCCATCCCATGTATCATGTTCCCTCTTATTTACTCGACACCTTGAGCCAAGAGGAAAGGTGGAGTATGCATAGTTTGATTGAACTGGCTGACATTGTATAATCTGCCTCAATGGAAAGGCAGACTGTAACTATAATATAAAGTAAATAAATTAAAACTGCCCTGGAGCAAGTGAGCTCAGTTGCCCCAGTACTGGTGGCAGCACTTCAGGGGCCTACCTGCCTAAAAGCCAGGCAGGCTGCAGTCACCATGACAACAGGTACAGGCCCACTCAGCTTTCTCTGGGCCTCCCCAAGTCAGTGGCCTACTAGGCCCTTTCCCAGCATGTTAAAGAGCCAGTGTGCTGGGCTAGGGATGCCAGCCTCCAGGTGGGACCTGGGGATCCCCCGGAATTACAGGTCATCTCCAGACTACAGAGATCAGTTCCCCTGGAGAAAATGGATACCTTGGAAGGTGGACTGTATGGTATTGTACCCCACTGAGGTCTCTGTCCTCCCCAGGCACCATCCTCAAATCTCTAGGAGTTCCCTAACCTGGATCTGGCAACCCTACACCCCATCCGCCACCAGTGGCTGGGGGTTCTGGCAATAATGTGCCCCCATGTCTGCATCTGAGTAACAGACACCTCTGCATTGTAGCTGAAAGATCCTCTTCATGTAGCTCAAAAGCCTGTAGAGTTGTTTTTACCAAAGAAGGTGATTTCCCCCAAAATGATATACCAATGTACCCATTGTCTACCTGCTACCCTCTCTTAAAACCAGCAGGGCAACAAAAATCCATACTGGCTCAGTATCTCCTATATCTATTCTGGCTGTAAAATAATTCACGCTTGTACCTTCTTGTTAATGTTCTCTTTATGGTAACACCTTTGCTAATGCAAGACACTAAATATAAATGTGAGGTGGTCCTAAGAGTCTGTGCTCCCAGAAATTTGCTTTGTAATCTGCCTCCATAATCACTCTCATCGCTGTGGTATCTGAGTATATTCATCCCTGGATACGTGTAAATAGATCAAACAAAACAAGTCCTGTTTAGCATCGTAAGATGACTGTGCTGCATGCAGCTGGTCAAGGGAGCTGTGTGGCCCAACAGTTGCATTCTGGGCATTGTGGAATGCTGCCACTGAAGTCACCCAGAAGTATTCTGCGTGAACTGGAACTGTGTTGCTAAGTCACTGGCCGTAATCACAGAGTCTATAAACAGTGCTGTACATATATGCTATGATTCTGCAGGAGTACATAAAAGAGTGGATGCTGGATGCAGAATTCAGCTTCCAGAAAATCTCAGAGTGTGTTGTTGTTTTTGGCATGGCCACCTTTAATCATGATGAATGTATGAAGAGTCAACTCTAAACCAAATCCCCACACACGGAAGAAGAAGAAGAAGACCCGCCTTTCACTACCCAAAGGAGTCTCAGAGCGGCTTACAAACTCCTTCCCCTTCCCCTCCCCACAACAGACACCCTGTGAGGTAGGTGGGGCTGAGAGAGCTCTGACAGAAACTGCTCTTTTTCAAGAACAGCTGTGCCAGAACTATAGCTTGCCCAAGGTCATCCAGCAGGTGCAAGTGGAGGAGTGGGGAATCAAACCCGGATCTCCCAGATTAGAGTCCGCACACTTAACCACTACACCAAACTGGCTCACACAGACACAGTCACACGAGAGCCATCCTTGGCATCCTCTTCTCTGTTTATTCAGCTTCTGAATGTTGCCCTAGACAGATGCCTGGCACCCCCCAAGACCAGCATGTCGGGCAGTTCATCCCCACGAACCTGCCTCATCTGTCTTAGTGAAGTCTACTCTGCAGCTTCCCAGGGTCTAAGGTACAGGAGGGTTTCTCCCAACAGGCTACCTGCTGCTCTTAAGACCCTTTCAGGCACTAGGGACTGGACTAGCAACCTCCTGTATGGAAGCCCAATTACTGACCCACATCCCCTCCCTGTTGTTACGTGGTATTTCTTACAGACATCTCTGAAAGTAGAGTTTCCTAATATTGCAAGAACAGATTCCCCCCCCCCCTTAACGCACCTTAACAGCAAAAGCTTTCCCTGGTACTGGAAGGTTGGCATTTTTTAATTTATTTGTTTACAAAATTTGTATCCCACCTTTCTGCCCTTACTTGGCCCTTGTAATTTAAAACATTTAAAAACATACGTGATAAAATCACATTTTAAAACCATTAAAAACATCCCCCCAACACACAACATTAAAACAATTAAAAACAGCTGAGATATGTACAAAATAAAAACGACAGTTGAAAACATGGGTTAGAAAAGAGGGACTCACTGAGAGAATGCCAAAATATCATTACTAAACACACCTACACACAAACAAACACAGTTGCTTGGGACCAAGTAAGGCCATCTCAGTTTGTCAGAAAAGAATTTCCACAATGACTTTTCTGATTCCCTTGAAAGTTAACTCAGAATGGCACCATCTGTTAGCTGGCTCCTGCCAAAACCATTTGATTCATACCTGGGCACTTCGCAGATTAAGGGCAATTCTGCATTGGTTTCTCCCTCCATTGCTTTATGAAACTCACATTGGAACAGAAATTCCCCTCTGCATTGCATGCTGCTATCACTTCCTTTGATCTTCGGATTTTATGGTACCCTCCGCACTGCATGCCGCTTTCGCTGTCTTTGATCACTGGGTTTTATGGTATCTTCTGCATAGATTTATGGCCATTCAAGGGTGACTTTGCAGTCAGTACAGCATTGCCCTGGGGTATTTGAATGCACTTTTGAGCTGCACTTTTTCCTCCCAGTTGAGAAAATGTGGAGTGAATGCTAGATGCAGAATCACCCTAAGACAAGGATATCCTATGTTGAGCTACATTCTGGTTCTCCCATCACTCTTTAACGCTCATGAGAACTAGTGTGCACTGGAACTCCCCACTTCCAATGTCACCTCATCCAGAAACCCACTGAGGAAACAATTATTTCTCAGCTTTAACCTTGTATCTGCAATGCATGGAATAAATATACTAGCTTACCTTACAGGGGTGTTGTAAAGGTTACTGAGAAATTCTATTTCAAGAAAATCCACTTGAAGCACTGTATAAAGTTTTCTGTCTAT